CGCTGCCTCGCCTGGTGTCGCTCGCCGCCGTCGCGAGCAGAAGCAACGCGCCACCGCCCACCACGTGCAATGGCTGATGTCACTGCGCCAGGCCAGTGCTGCGCACCACCTCCGCCTCACGTAGTGGTTGCGCCTCAGAGGTCTCCGAGTTGCGGCACGAGCGCAACGTGATGAAGCAGAAGATTGCAGAGCTCCGCACCCTGCTCGTGTCCAATGGGCACTTGAACTTCTCGGCAGCTGTCCACGGTCTCCGTGAAGATCCTGAACATCCTAATGCTGCTGGAGTTTCTGACGACTCTCGTGCAGCTCGCAAAAGCCGAAGCCGAAGTGGTGGGCTCTACTTCGAGGACGCTAAAGGCAAGGGCAAGGCCAAAGTGGCCTTTGGTGCGCCGCCCGGCAGCCCTCCTGATACTCCTCTTGCTGCTGATGCTGGACTCGTTCCTCGTGGTTCTGGAGCTGCTCATGCCGCTGCCGCGCCTCAAGTTATATCCTCGCAGGAATGACAAGGAGAAAGAGGTGGCGCCAAGAGCCAGGATGGAGGACAGCCTTACGAGCTCGTCCAGTGCTGACAGCTGGGAGCAGGCGATCGATGGTCGACCTGCTCGACAGTTCAAGGAAGAAGAATAAGAATAAGAAGAAGTACAAGTGCTGAGGGGGTAGCCTGCGCCTGCGCACAGTTTGGAAGGCGGCGTCGCCCTCGGTGCCGTCGCTGCGCCGACCCCGCTCGTCGGGTGAGCCATGGCGGCAAGAACGGCTCCCTCTCCCCCCTCCTATCCTCCGCCGCACCGTGCGGGCCCCGGGCGCGGGCCGCGGGCGAGCGGAGTTGGGAGCCGCAGGGACGGCGTCTCTCTCTCTCTCTCTCTACCTCTCTCTGAGGCTGGTCTTGCTGGCTTGCTGGTGGGGGGCCCCGGTGCAGCTGGGCCGTGCAGGGTCCGCCTTCGAAGCTTCGCAGCTGGAAGGCTTAGCCATGTGCGCTCGAAGTGTCCTGTCCTATCCTCCTCCTCCCTCCTCCTCCTCCTCCTTCTCCTCCTCCACATCCCCACTGGCATGACCTTTGCACCGCTGGCAGACTTACCCCCTACGTTCAAGAGGTTATGCTTGGGGCGCCGCGGCGGCGTCCCCGGCCACACGCTATGCTCTGCGAACGGATAGCGTGTCGCTCCGCCTTGAAGGGCGAGAGGCCAGGAAGAGCTCGGGACGGTAAAGCCAGGGGACTTCGCCGTGGTTAACGTGTCGCGCCGGAAAAATGGGGCGGGCCAGAGCCGGCGGCGCGACACGGTAAGAGAAAGCTCTTGACCGCAACCGATCCACATCCCCACTGGCATGGCCTCTGCACCACTCGCCGGCTTACCCCACAGGCGAGGATATGCCTTGTTCCCGTTCTCTGAGTCTTCGAAGCATCACTACCGTGGATGGAAGCAATTAACGCGAAACCGATTCGTAACGTTGGAATTTCGACATTCAATGTCCGCGGGTTCCAAGCCGGGCACGATCGGCGGCCGCCGCCGAAAATGTAAAACAGAAGCGCGAAACACAAGTGAAGGCTTATATTGTCGTGGCCCGGACTGCACCCATTATCTTTGAACGGCGGAGTCGCAACGTTGTGCATTGGCTTCGCGCTAAGTTCTTACATCTGAAGGGGCCCAGGGACCCACATATAAATACACACAAATCCCCGGATTCCCAATACTTGTCCTGATTTGTTGGATGTTCGTCTTCCCCCCCCACTTCCCATATTTTCGCACAGTTCCCTGGGGATCGAGGATCAATCGTGCCTGTGTTTTCCCCCTCCTGATTCTTGTCATTCTCCCTCGACCCGAACCCTCGAGACCTCGATCCTCAACCCCCGAGCCTCCACCTTCGACCCTCGAGCCTCGATCCCCGCCCACCGGCGCCTGCGCGCCGCCGCTTCAGCGACCCGCCCGCAGTCGCCCACTGCCGCGCCTCGTAGAGGCGGCCCAGATGCGCCACGAAGTCGGGCGGCGCGGCACCTCGGCGGCGACGGGGGGGAAGAGGAAGGAGGAACGGGGGGGGGGGAGTGGGAGGAGGAAGAGGGGGAGGAAGAGGAAGGGGATGATGGGGAGGAGGAGGCTAGGGAAGGAGGGAAGAGGAGGGGAAAGAGAGGGAGGAGGGGGTGAGGGGTGGAGGGAGAGGAGTGGGGTGGGGGGGTAGGGGGGGGAGAAAGAGAGGGCGGCAGAGGATAATGATGGGCGAGGACATTAAGCACTAGCAGAGGGAGGGCAGGGGGGGGAGGGGGAAGGAGGGGGAGGAAGATGGGGTGGAGCAGAAGGGCGGGGACGGGGGGAGGAGGAGGAGCAGCAGCAGCAGCGGGGGGACGGGGGGAGGCCCAGGGGGAGGAGGAGGAGGAGGAGGAGGAGGAGGAGGAGGACGAGGAGGAGGAGGAGGAGGAGGAGGACGAGGAGGAGGAGGAGGAGGAGGAGGAGGTTGGGGCTCGAGTGGGCGCCTAGGGAGGCCGCCCGCAGGAACTCTGACCTCACGTGTGTTGGCTTTCGAATTCCAGCCACGACACTTAACATTACGATTCCCGATTCAGTCTTTGCATCGAGTCGTTCCCGCTCCAGGCAGCGAGAACCTGCTTGGCACCGTCGACGGCGCCGCCATCGGGCAGACGCTCGAACCCTTCTTCGGGTACACAGGGCAGTGCATCTTCTACGAGGGCACCACAGTGCTCAACAGCCCCCACGCGTCGCACCGATGGCGACAGGAACCCCAGGATGGACCTGCGGCTCTTGCAACGAGCGTGTCCAACACTGGCAGTGGTATTGTGCGTGCGGTGGTGCCTTTGCGGACAGGCGCAAGAAGTCACAAAGTCAGTCTCGGCGGCCACGATCAGCCAGCAAGTCAAGCAAGGCCACCTCCTCTCGCCAGCCGTGGGTCCAGATCGAGGCAAAGGCGAGGCCAGACTCCAGGAGGCCACCGCCACATCAGTCACGTCATCGCCCTCAAGAGCTGGTTCCTGCCACGCAGCAGTTTGCTCAGGCCCACCCCAACTGGGGCGAGTGGCAGGCCCCCACGGACATGCGCCACATGCAGGCCTTCAAAGACAGGCTCACTTCTCGCATGACAACGTTGGCAAAGGCAGCGGTGGCAGCGCTGCGGGCCCGCAAAGGCGACGAAGACTTCAAGGAGGAGCTCTCCATGCTCCGCTATTGCCAGGACCAGCTGCTACCACTGAAGCAGCAGAGAGAACAAGCACTGGCCAGGCTCAACGAGGCGAAGGATCGATTGCACAACACATATGCCAGGATCAACATGCTCGAAGCTCAGGCCGAAGAAGTTCGGGAAGAAGTTGGGGACCTGAACCAGAGCCTGATCGACATCGACAACAAGATCAAGGCCGAGATTGCAGACATCATCCAGGATATTCCCAATCCCATGGTAGTGGAACCTGGCACAGCTCAGGGCACAGCTCCCTCGAGCTCAGGGCCACCATCAGAGGTGGCTCCATTCAAAGAGCAGCGCGATGCAGCCCTCCAGCAGCACGACCTCATCTATCAGCACAATCAGCAGATGGAGGCGCAGATGAGGCTCATGCATCAGTATATGTTGAACCACTGCCCGCCTGCAGCTCCGCCACCACCAGTAGGCCCTTTCCCAACGCCTCAGGCGGCCGAGCCAGCGTCGGCGCCAGCAGTGGGGTTTCCAGCAGCAGGGAGTACAGCATCGGCGCCGGCTGCCCTCTCAGATGCTCAGCTCCAGGCGGCCATCAACGAGATGTACAAAGCTCAGGGCATCCCGATTCCTACGGCGTTCATGACTGCAGCAGCGGCCTCCCCTCCTGGGACACGGACGGCAGCTTCGTTTGCAGCAGCAGCTTCAGCGACACCAGCGACCGCAGCTCCAGGGACACCACCGACGGCGGCCACAGCTCCCGAGGACAAACCAGTTCCTGGAACGCCTGGGCCGACCCAGATGTGGGGTCTCCCGCCAACGCAGGAGACACCTTACGTTGCGCCCGATCATTTCGCCCCGACCCAGATCAATCCCACTCAGGAGCAGCTCCGAGGCCCTCAGAGCTACATCGACCACAATGGCAAGATGTGCTTCAAGGGCAAAGGCAACGGCGTCAAAGAGAGGAGTCGGTCGCCTCCCGCGGGCGAGCCCGCACATGTGTCTCAGCGCCTTGCCGACAGCGCATAGGGATCTCCTGGGGCTACGTCCACGCGCAGTTCTACGATCCTGAGCTTCAAGTAGACACAGGTGAGGCCAGCCAATTATCTGAGCCGCCCTATTCAGTGCCTCTCTCGTCCTCACACATATGATGCACCAGCACGCGGGTCTAGACGTGCTCAATACATCCTCTCTCCCTGCCATGGATTTTTCAGTCCTCCCACGGTCGACCGATGCCAGCGCCTCCCAGCAGTATACCCACCCAACAGCTCTCGCTCCGCTACCAGATTTTGCGCCTACGAGTGCTGGCAGAGGGCACGAGCCAGCTTCTATCAGCCAGTCTGTGCGAGCCAATGATCGAGCCACTTGCGGGGACGGCGGGTGGAGGTCGGGTGGGGAAGAACGACTACGGCTGACTTTTAAGCTTGCGAGTAACTCCGGGTTTGAGCCAATCGCACAATACCAACTGCATGCTGTTAGTAATCTTCCCACTGGCGGCGCGGGGTCAAGACGCCACAATGATAGCTCGGATGCTAGGGAAAAGGCATCCTACCTTCGGCACGTTCAGCCACTGGAACCCCCAGTGATGGCAGACACCTCATCCTCCCCTTCCTCCAAGCCTGCCCCTCCAGGCCTGCTTGAAGCAATCTCGGCCTCTGAGCTCCTAACTGAGAGGCTTTCGCACAAGCTCAAGCCGTGGTACTACAATGCCATTTTTATGCCAGATGACCAGGCAATGGCCATGTGGCTTGAAGATTGTGTTCCGTGGGTAGAAGCATGCTTGCGCACCCTTCCACGCTTTCATTCGCTCTTGCACCCTACACACGGTATCAATAGCAGGCGTGAATTGCGCAGCCAGGAGGAAATAATCTGCAGCGTGGCATGGCAACTCTCAGAAGCTCGTCGCTCAGCCTATCTACAGCGTCTTGGGCGCACGAGGGTTGCTTTTCCGACTCAGCACGGCTTGGAGCTACAGGGCGCTCTTGATGCCTACCTCCGTGCAAGGCACGTGATCTGTGTCCAGGCAGGCCGACCAGGCCATCTCGCCAATCCACACTGGGCTGGACAAGCGTGGCGTTTTTGGGAGGCCCCTCTCCACTCGCACGACTATCAGCCGCCTGCCGCCGCGTCTGAGCCTTCAACAGGAAACTCCCTTCCCTCGGACCCGCCTCCTCCTGGCCAAGACGGCCGGGACAGTGAGGTGCAGGGCCCCAGCGGCCCTGGCCGTGCGGTCTCTCCCAGGGACCCGCAGTCCGATTTCAGCGAAAGCTCAGACTCCAGCCTTTTGCAACATTTTGTTAGCACTACTAGGCTCTCTGCGCGAGACAACACGCAATTTGTCTCGTCAGTTACCTCGCAGGATCCGTGCCCCACTCTGGACCAGACTCCTGCTGGCCTCACTGGCCATGAGCAGGAGTCAAGGAACCTCGGCGTTCTTTCCGCGGGGCTGCCCTCGGGATCGTACATGAACCCCAGCGAGGATCCTGACACCAGTCACTTTCAATCCCTTGCCGCGGCTGCTACCCCCTCGGTGGCGCAGCCTGTCACCCTGTGCCTCGTCGACCTCTTACAGTTGAGGTCGCACGAGATGAGCTCAGTGGGACTCACCACTTCGAGCGATTTCTCCAGCAAGCGCGCCGCGCCTGTACCTGACACCTCTTTGGTCACACAGGGTGAAGCCATCCAGCAGGACTGTTTCAGCGCATGCCCGAGCGCTCAGTACATCCCTGCTCCTCCTCCCGTCTCCCACGACCCACCTATGGCCCGCGTCCTGGCTCCTTCAAGAGGGGGCAGCGAGTCGTCGCACACCGCTGGCTCTGTCTTCCCCTCAGTTCCAGGCCATGGCGACGGCTCCTGGGGCCCATTGTCATCCCCCAATATCTCGGAGCGCCTTGCGGAAAAGACCCGCTCGCATCGATCGTCGCCGCCCGTGTCTCCATCGCCCCTGCATTGCGATCTCGGCCGTCTCCCCACCGCATGGCTTGACAGGGGCGTCAGGTACTCTCTCGCGTGGCGACGCGAGGCTGTCCCCGATTTGGAGGAACCAGGAAGCGTGGCCTTCAGTCTTTGTCTGCCCAGGTTCGGTGATTGGGAGCACCAACACTATTATGCTGATGCGTCTATCGACCCATCCGATAACACCACTGCGAGCTGGGGGTTGGTCGCGCTCTCTCAGGGCAAGGAAGGCTATGCCTATGGGCGTTCGTCTGTTCCCAGTGGACCCAATCCTGCATTCTGGACCCCCCCAAAGACTTGGACAGCACGGACGTTGAGCTTCTCGCCTTAGCCTGGGCCCTGCTTGCTGCCCTCGCTCAGGAAGCGCCCGTGCCAGTCACCATCTGGAGTGACAGCCTTAACGCTGTTGAATTTCTCAATGGCAGGTCCAACAGCAAGTCTAACAGAGATATCGCCAGACTCACCTATGCGCTTCTGGCCAGAAGTAGACACCGGTGCGAAATCCAGATATGCCATGTCAAAGGGCATGTGGAACATCCCTGGAACACTATCGTGGACAACATCGCTCGGGCCACCATGAAAGGTAAGTTAGACCCTTCTATGTGACCCGCCCCCCTGTATGATCTAACTGACTTCACCCGTGCCGTTGAATGGGCTTGGCTACTCGACGCCCCATCAGAGGTTGCCTCAGCTTATCCTTCTCTTGTGCAGACGCAAATTGGTGAGTGCATTCATCTCTCTTTCGTCGCCTCGCTGCCATGCTCCCATGCCACCCTCCGTGACCTCGCCACTCCCGCCCCCACGCGTCTGCAGCATCAAGTGATAGCTCTCTCATTGGCCCAGTATAACACGCGCTCACTTGCGGCTTCCCACAAAAAGTCGAGTAATGCCTACGTCCAAGGCATGAGGTCCCACTTGACCAGGCAACAGTTTCGTGACAAGAAAATCCATCTCGTTGGGATCCAGGAGGCGCGTACCCCCCAGGGCTCGAAGAGAAAGGGCGCCTACCAAGTTTTGGCTGCAGGACACATTAATCACTCGGCGGGAGTCGAGCTTTGGGTCAACCTTGAGGAACCCTACGGACAATGCCATGGCCGCCCTTTGCTCTTTCATCCCCGCCATCTCTCCGTGCTTTATGCCGCTCCACGTCTTCTTATCGTGCGGATTCAAGCACCAGGACTCGAACTCACTGTTGCCGTTGCACATGCCTATCAGTCTGGCCACAAAGCTTCGGATCGGGAGGCCTTCTAGACCCTCCTGGACGAACAGCTTGCCGCCTGGGGAGTCCAAATCATGCTTGTCGACGCAAATGCGCGACTCGGCACCCACACGGACGCTACGGTTGGGGATCAGGGATTTTGCCAGGACGAGGACCCTCCTGGGACGAGATTCAGGCAATCTCTCAACGAAGCGGCTCTGGTAGCTGCCAACACCATGCAAGGTGATAGTGATGACTACACATTTGTCACCAACAAGAATGTTCGGCACCGCATTGACTACATATGCGTTGCCCAGGGCATGGCTTCCAACATATCTGCCGTTCATACTTGGAAGGAGCTTGACAACTTCTCTAAGCAGCGCGACCATCTTGCCGTGCTTGCCAATCTCACCCTTCATCAGGAGCGAGTTGTTCGTCAAACCTCGTCGACACGGCTGGACGATGACCTTCTCAGAGGCCCCGACAGAGTCGCGCAGTTTCAGGAGCGTCTCTCGGAGACCCCCCCCATATGATGGTCAGTTTCCCCATCGGAACACATGACCTCGGTCACCAAGCAGGTTAATCAAGTTGCGAAGGAGGTTTTCACCCGCCCAGGGAGTCGTCCTAGACAATCGTACATCACTGCTTCCTCCCACCTGCTTGTGCTTGCCCGCCGCGGAGCCCTTCGTGTCTTGCGCAAGGTGGCGCGTCCCTCGGCACTGCCTCCTGGGGCCACGGTTCCTAGGATTCTCTCTCACTTTGCGGGTCGGTGGACCAGTGGGGACCTCGGCCAGGGACGCAAAAAACTGCTGGACTCTCCTTGGGACGCCCTTTACACTTCTGTGAGGCAGGTTGCCCTTCGGTGTCTCAACGGTGCTGCGCACCACGACGAGTTCATGCTTGCCCTCCATGCCTTTATTCTCAGATCCAAGCATGCTCTTGCCAACCAGCTCGAAAAAGACAGGGTTCTTTTTCTCGAAGGTATTGCGCAGGAGGCTCAGCTGTCTGTTGACGGGGGCATGGCCAGACAGGCCTGGCAAAGGTGCCACAAGCTTCTGCGCTTCGGGGGGTGTAACAAAAAGCCCACGGCCTTCCCGTACATGCTCGATAGCCAGGGTGACCCGCTTGCCTCCTCTGATCTGGTGGCGCAGCACATGCAAGAATTCTTCGGAGGTATTGAGAAAGCGCAGGCTCTCACCGACCAAGAGGTTGTCGATTATTACAACCGGGCGCCCCCCCCTCTTGCCCCCCCCCCCCCGAGATTCGGTCTCTTTACAACCAGAACAACCACTTTACAACCAGATGGGTTACTTTGCAACAAACATAGGATTGGAAAGTCTGGTTTTTCATCGAGAACGTCCACTTTGCAACCAGAACGGCCCACTTTACAACCAGAACGGACCACTTTACAACCAGAACGGGCCACTTTACAACCAGAACGGACCACTTTACAACCAACTCAGAGTGGCCGTGCGTGTTTGGGCGTTCCGCAAAGTGCTCCAGAGCAAGTGGGCGCACTGAAAAATGCCCCAGAGCAAGTGGGCGCTCTGAAAAATGCTCCAGAGCAAGTGGGCGCTCTCAAAAGTGCTCCAGGGCGCGCGGACGCTCTGAAAAGTGATCCAGAGCACGTGGGCGCTCTGGAGCCCGAGCGCCTGAACTCTCCGCGCAGGCCCCAGCGATGCCTCTGAGCCCGAGGACCTGGACGCTCTGCGCAGGCCCCAGCGATGCCTCTGAGCCCGAGGACCTGGACGCTCCGCGCAGGCCCCAGCGATGCCTCTGAGCCCGAGCGCCTG